TGCTTATCCAGAATCAGGCACTCCACGTGCTGAACGTTCACAGGAACGACTGCTGTGGGCTGAGAACCACCATGGCCGGGATTGTCACTGATGGACATACGGCCATCTTTGAAACGTTTACACCATTCATGTCTTACTACGGCTGAGCATCTCATTGCTGTACTGTGCTTGAAATCGTCTGTAGACATCCGAAGGTTTTACACCTTCGTTCACAGGAAACTTCATCACCATGTGGTGTTCCATGCACGCGCTAACACTGTTGTCTGCCATCTTGATTACCAGTCTCTGTACTGGCTCGCAACAAGTGTGCCCCCTATCAGTAATTGGACACACTTGCCACTTATTACTGTGTGTAGTACCACCACGCTGTGTGTGTGTATATGTATGTATGTGTGTGTGTGTGTGTATATATATATATATATATATATATATATATATATGTGTGTGTATGTATGTATGTATGTATGTATGTATATATATATATATATATATATATATATATATATATGTGTATATATGTATGTGTGTATATACTGTACACACATATTGTGGAAGTTTAGCTCAAGGATAGAGCATTCAGAAACTTGCCTACTTCAACTGAGGCTGAGGGCTTTCTGTCCACATGTATTAGAAAGAAAAAGTTCCTTTACACCAAGGTTTCCTTCACAGGGGTTTCAACATCACACCAAATAACAAACTCTTGTTTTCTCCTGGCTTTCTACGTCCATTCAGGGCCTTTATCAGTTTCCACATGGACACACACCTACAGATATTGGCCTGGTCAGTACAAAGAAATACTTGCTACTCGCAACCACATGGATTCCTGGGAGAGTGGGGCACACATACTAAGATGGTTGTATACACCTGCACCATTAGGATGCTGGTGGCTGACAAAGTGTGGACCCAGAGTTGTAAGCCTCCACTCACTCGGTACTCTACAAACCTCAGAGCTCCAGAACCCAATCCAAGATTCACTAATTATGAATAAAAAAGACAAGACACTCTGCTTCGTTTTAAGACAAGCATTCCTGAGCCCTGCGAACTGTATGGGTGAGAACCTTGTGTACCACTTAACCCTTCTCACACATCATCACCATAGGTCATTACTCCCTTCTCCCTGTGGTAGTGAACAAGTCTAAAATGCTGCAGAGACTGGTACAAAGTAATGACATAGCACTGTTCTCTGTAGCATCCTCCTGCAAGCCCATGTCACTGTGCATGAGCACCAGGAGGCAGGTCCATGACAGCCTGGGCTCACAGAAAGTGGTCTGGGCATCATTCAACTTGGAAGATGAGAGGCACTGAGTCTGAGTTCTTTCTGCACTGGAGAGGTGTAGTTTTCAGCTAGAGCTACTTTTCTTCATATTTTTAAAATTTTTTTAATGACCCTGTCAGGTCCCCTACTATCCCTTCATTCCAGTGCTGCAATCTCTTCAGCATTTGATCTTTCCGGAAGTGTCGGAAACCTTTTTATCCCCCATCATGTGCTATGATTCCTTTCTCCCACCCCATTATGACCCTCTGATCATTTACTTTACTGTAGTCAAAGTAATTTATCATGATCAAGACTTCGATTAGATAGTAAAAGAGCAGCAGCAGCTGAACACTCATGATACTCATATGCAGGTGGCAATGCAAAACAGGACAGGTTGAGTTGCAATTTAAAAATATAAGTATAGCTTAGCTCCAGGTTCAAATATATTGGAGTTTCAAAATCTTTATATGTTTAGTCTTTCTTTTCAGTTGGTAACCTTGCCAGTAACATACTTTGTGTCCTTGGGTGACAGCATTCACTCATTGTACTGTACTTATGTAGGAGCAGCCATTTAAAGTGTAAGGACTATAAAACACCTCCCTCCTCATTGGATAACATAGGGGAAAACGGTGCTATAGTTACAGAAAGAGTCCTGGAAGGACTGATAACACTTCTTGAGATAACACTGAGGAGTGTACAGGCAATAAACAGCCCAGTAGATTTCTGATAGGATCAATGGCTATTACAAAGCAAGGGGACATCTCACTTTTTTGTATATGTCACTCCACCACCAGCTTTAGTGTTTCTCACTTGCTGCGGGACCACATAAAATGAATTCCCACATCCAGCCAAATTTTTTAGTTTTGGAAAAACGGAGGAAGAGTAAACACTTCTCCTCTTCTAAAGCTCACCACACACTTTACAATCTGACTATACAATCTTCTTTAGGTCTACCAACAACTGTGTAGTGTAAGTGCCTGCCTGGCTGGGCACAAATCGATTATATAGTTTATGTTAATACATAACATGTATGGTGTACTTAGACCTTTCTAACCCCTTTCCAATTTTAATGAAATAAACTGGCAAAATAGAAAGTGACGGGAACTTTTCCCTGTGTGGTAAAAAAAATGCACTAAAGACCTTCTGATGGTTCTAGTTCTATTTTAAGACATAGCGTATTTTGGTATCTATTTGCTAGACACAACCTCATCTTTTATATTTTACCAAAAAATGGGTATTCTTATGTGTGTGTTTGCACCAAAATGCATTTATTATATTTCTTCTTGAAAATTTGCATTTAATAAACAGTTTAAAAAATATAATGTGACATAAATATTTGCAACTACCACCTTTTTTATTCTACAGGATTTCTGCTTTCAGAAAATATATAATGTTCTCGGGGTTTAAGTCATTTTATTGCCAAAAATAATGATTATTACGTGTGTGTGTGTCTGTGTGTGTGTGAAAAATAAAAAAATTGCTGTGGAGCCAAACTGGTTAAAGTGACCCTGTTGCTAGCATAAACTATTTCCGCAAGCTGACACCTGTTAAAAAAAAAAAATAAATAAATAAAAATTTGTATGCATTCATGTCCGACAGGCAGCGAGTGAATTCCTGCAAAGCTCTAGGCCGGGATCCTATTCCGCTGCTGGCAGAAAACATGACCATTACTGTTGTCTGTGGTTCCTTCTGCCAGCCCCTACATCTGTTGTGACAAAATATACGGGCCAGAGGAGGAACTATAGCAAACGGGACTGGAGTCCGATATACCCCAAAGGGTCACATACCATCAGCACTAATTGAACAGATCCACCAAAATTATTTAAACGGCATATTTAAAAGAGGGAACAAATAAGAAAAGCTCCCAGAATGGGTATGTCCCAAATGACGAATGTGTCAGCGTTCTAGATCTGTGATTCTCCAAGTTTTGCCGAAAAGGCAAGTATGACAACCCTGGAGATTACATCTTCAAAAACACATTGATATTGGCAGCTCCTGTACTTATGTCCTCACAGAGTACTAATCACATTCCCAGGAACATATTTACCATTATCTGCATTAGATACAATACTCAAAGCAAGCAATTTGCTACATAACTAACATTTTAGTTTTTGCATTAATAACAAAAAATATTTATTTTTACTGAAATAACAATGTGGCTTCCCTTTTTCACCTGGTGCAAATGCACAAGGCCGTACATGAAGTCCTTATTCATGGCTGTACTGAAACAATGGAAACTAAAATCTGTAATTTGTTGCTGTACACTTTCAAACGCTGAATGTGAAGGCTATTATTCTTGCAAGTGTAATTTATCGAATTCTATTGTCACATTTCTACTGGAAAAATCTAATAAACCTATTGGAAAGGAAACTGAAATTTGATAGACTACCATGCTGCTACTGTTCTACAAGAATTGTCTTATAAGCCCTGTTTTGCATAGAAATGTGACAAAAGCTGAACTGGGCCTCGGTCCATTTTTACATCATTGGCAATTAATTTTGATCAGTGTCTGTTTTTTAATAAATTCTCATTTGTTCCAAGAGAAAGTGGGGCCCCCAGTTGTGTGGAAAATGCAGATGCTTGATACATTATTAATGGGGCTGACAGATGGGCGTCTAATTATAGTGGGGCTGATGAGGGCAAGATGGCGTCACAGCTGACAGCTAGTAAACTGGTTTGATTAGCGAGCATTAGATCACCACGTGGCCTTCTTGTGGGGGTTGTGCTTCCCTAATAAAGACGGACTCTTAAAATGGACCCATCATGAGGACTAAAGATGAATTTCACTTATAAATATTTTTACATGGTTACATTGGTCCAGCTTGGACCAGTGTAACCATGTGTATGCCATAACTGGCCAATCCCCCTGGAAGCTGGAAATCAATGTAGTCAGCACCACTACTGTGATTGCCATTTCTGGGTGGTGCCCTGCTGCATTGTGGAAAGGAATTGCTGGGAAATTTCTTCACAGGCTGCAGCAAAACATTTGTTGACACTGATATGGATTAAGAGTTAGATGAGTCAGTGTTAATCCCACCATACCTGTGACAATCAACTTTGGATCTACAAAATTATGAGGACCTACCTAGACTTTCCAATCAATATGCAACCAGTCAAGCAAGCACTTGCACTACATGATTATTGGTAGACAGGAGATTGTACAGTCAGATTGTAAAACATGGGTTGAGCTTTAAAAGTGTTTACTCTTTTCCTATTAGTCCAATAAAGATGTTTTTAAAAGAGCTTGGCAACAATTTTCGGAATTAATAACAAGGTACTTGTTTTTTACAATGAGTCGTAACAATACTGTAATACTTCAGAGCAAACTCGCATAACCGTTGAAAGATGGCACATTTGCGATACTGGTGAGAAATCACCATTGGATCTCTGTGGAGGACCCAGTGCTTGCATGTGTCACTGCTTCACCAGCTACTTATGTTCCCAAGCAGTTTCTACAGTTGGTAAACAGTGCTAAAGCTGGTGGGGGAGAGACCTATACAAAGAAAGTGAATGTTCTCCCTGCATGTTCCAGTGACCTTGGCATTATGGATGTCTACACAAGGATGGCTTTTACGGGTAGATAACTTGTATAAAATACACTAAATGCACATATAATCTTATAGAAGGATTTTTGTTGAAGTGAGTGGACTGAAAGAGGGTCTTTTGAATGCTTCTAAACTTCAAGTTATGTTCTTATAATAGGCAACTGAACTGCTAATTTCAGATTGTCTCCTTGTCATTTCAGGCTAATCTTTGTTTTGTGGACATTGATAACCACTTCATAGAACTACCGGAGGAGTTCCCACAGTTCCCCAACAAATTGGAATTTATTCAGGAAATCTCAGAGGTTCTCTTGAACTATGGCATACCACCAGAGGGAAATTTACACTGCAGCGAGAGCGCCACCAAGCTAAAGAGCCTTGTACTGGATGACTTGGTGAACGATAAGAAGAATGGCAATATCTCCAGCCACAATATCAACATGTACGAGCTGCTGAAGGGCAATGAAACTATGGCCCGACTTGAGGCTCTCACCAAAAGGACGGGGATAAAGATGGACAAGATCAGCATCAGTGTTCCACTGACAGACCCTGAGGATGAGCACAAGCTCCAGTGTGCTGAGCAGGAGCTGAGGGATTACAAACTCAATGTGCAGATCCGAGAAGTGTTTGCCAACCGATTTACGCAGATGTTCTCGGACTATGAGGCATTTGTCATTCAGGCTGCTCATGACATGGAATCTTGGCTGACCAACCGAGAGCAGATGCAGAATTTTGATAAAGTAAGCCATGTTTTTTGCTTATGGTAGACGTAAAGTATAACTTAAGGCAAAACTTTTTTTTTTAGTTTTGGACAGAGTGGAGATGGATTAGAACCCCTGTCAATTGTTATTGCTGCCTGTGCCCCTGTTAGGGAGATTCACCCTCTCTATTTGTTTTGTTTTCCCTTATCATTGAAAGTGAAAGTTAAAAGAAAATCCCACGTTTTGGGCTCTCCCCAGATAAGTAATAGAGGGGAAATCTTCCAATGGGAACAGTAGTTCTGGTGACCTGGGGGTCCCCTGAGAATTCCCTTAATTTGCGGTGATTTCCTCTCACTTCCTGTTTAGCTGTGGGACATGAAGTGAGGGGAATTCTCTCTAATGGGATGTAGATGGCAAAAAATGAACTGACGGGTTATAACCCTCCCTTTCTCTTTTCAAAATGGGAAAAAAAAATTTTGCCTATAGTTCTACTTTAAACCCAGAGGTAAAGGATATGTAAACAAATCTTTTGTCTCACATAGGTGGTCATTTTATGGGGCAGCTCATGAAGATGTAGCGTTACCCCTGTAGGAGCCGCTGATTAGGATGGGTACTGAAAGTAATACTTAGTACCAGCGCTCTTGGTGTCATTCTTGGTCAGAAAATGCTGGTCTACCAAATATAGTACCCAGTAGTAGTGCTATCTGATAGACAGCAGGTACCAAACCAGTTAGTAAAGGAAAACCTAATAAATTGCCACCCTATTTGGTTGGAAACTAGGCAAGCATAAAAGGATTAACAGTGTTATTAACACAATTTAGCATACAAAGTGATTAACAGTAAGGACTAGGCATAAGATGACATTTGGCATCCAGATCAGCAGAAACAGTAGCAAGGCCATCTCAAGAGCAGCAGTGAGCAGTAGTAAAGTTTAATCTACTGAGTGCTGGAATTATACTGTCAGAGTGCATTTGAGGTGGCGATGCTAGTCCTAGACCGAACTCTCTGACTAATAGGCTCTCATTAAATGGGGCATACTAGAGATCCAGCATAGAACATTTCTCTGTATAAACTAGCAAGTATCTGTTCATATATTCAAAAGAGTTCCATTCCATGATTGATGGTTTTATTAGACCTCAACTCCAGGTAAAACCTTTATTCTTTAGGCTAGATAAGGAAAGCTTTAAACCTTAGTGTCCTTATTCAGTAGATGCCCCCTTACTTGTATCAAAAGTATAGAGGTTGATTTAGTAAAGTTGTGGCCCCTGCAAGTACAGTTGCTCCAGATCTTAATAAGTGAGGAGAAGCTCTGCTGACTTTCATCATCCAATCATGTGCAGCCAAAATGCTGTTTTTTTGCTTTTTTTTTTTTTTTCCTTGCATGTGATTGGGTATTCTTTCTAAAGAATACTAAGCTTGGGAGCAACTGCAATTGCAAAGTGCACAAACTATGTGCCTTTAGTAAGTCAACCCTATAGACTCCAGAGAGTGAGACATAATTTTACCTCTGTACAAATCATTATACCTCCTCTAGCATATGCAGTTGAATTCTGGGTACCAGTTCACAAAAAGCTACTAGATAAAGCTAGATATAAAAACTGAAACTAAAAACAGTAGATGATTTGCAGGTGAGAAACATTATTTTGCTTCTGCTGTGTGATGAGACACCTAGCTAACAGGTGGGATGCCTCACTTTCATCATTCACTGCGTGTGTTGCTAGTAATATGGAGTCATGTCAGAGCTTACTAAGCATCAAAGAACTCTCTAACAACTGTTATATATATTTCACTCATGTATTTAGCTGTTTGTCTTGAGTTCAGCTTTAAATTTGTAAGTGCAGGATGGATAATAAATTGTGCAGTTCTTATGTTGCTATAGGTCAATTTAAAGTGTTTCTAAAGCCTGTATTAAGGTAAAAAAAAAACCTTCTGTGTCCAGGATCCCCCCCCAGCCCCCTCTTATACTTACCTGAGTCCGATAGCAGTGGCTCTTTTGGTTCTCTTCCTCATTACAGGGCAGATTGATAGCAGTGGGAGCCATTGGCTCCTGCTTCTGGCATTTAAATCCTGTAACATGGGACCGGGGGGACACAGGACACAGGCAGTGCTTCTCGAAATTGAGCCCACACGAGGGCCCCCATAGAAAGTGGCTTTGTATGGAGGTACTCACTGAAGAGGAAAAGCCAGGAGTGCCAGAGGGGGACCCCAGAAGAAGATTTGGGCTGCTTTGTGTAAAACCATTGCACTAGGCAGGTGAGTATAACATGTTTATTATTAAAAAAGAAAGTAAGGTTTAGAATCACTTTAATTTTCATTTTAACGTTCAGAAAAAAAGGTTGCAATTTAATCCTGATTTATTTATTTATTTTACTTGTTTACTTTTTCTATTGCAGGCTTCTTTCTTGTCAGACCAGCCAGAGCCCTACCTCCCGTTCCTCTCTAGGTTCATTGAGACGCAAATGTTTGCCACATTTATCGACAATAAGATCATGTCTCTATGGGAGGAGAAGGATCCTTTGCTTCGAGTTTTTGATTCTCGCATCGAGAAGATCCGCCTGTACAATGTCAGAGCGCCAGCAATTCGCACTTCTACCTACCAGTCATGTACCACCTTAAAGGAAGCCAGTAAGTGTTCAGCCAATGTTACATTTAATCAATATTGTTGTACTAATTGCACAAGGTCTTTCTTAGAAATGAGGAAAGAAAAGCAATGGTCAGGAATCCCTGGGAGGCTGAATTACAGGCAATAGAATTGACAGAATGCACTAATTTTAAGAGTTTCTCCCCCCAAAACTGATCGATACTGAAAAGTTCATATATATGTTTTCAGATATAGACATTTTTAGTGAACTTGCAAATTCTTACACTGTTTTGCTGTGGAGATGGAGTGAGAGATGTAATACTGTAACATCTTCACACCAAGAGGGTCTGTCTGCTTTAATTACATAATAATTTTCAATACTGGGAAAAATATTGCATCCCCAATACCCTTGCTTATGTATGGCCAAATTATCACTCTGTCGGCTGCCTCCTGCAGACACATACGGTCCTTTTCAAGGTTGAATGATGCTCAGTATTGTTCAGCCTACTTCTTGTGAGCCCAGGGCATCAAGGACAGACCTCCTGGGGGTGTGTCCTCAGGCAGCCCTGAACTCACAGAAGAATGCATCAGGGAATGGTGCCATGTCCTAATTCTCTGCATGGGTCAGGAGCCTCCACCACTGGAAGAAGAAAAGCACCTGGACCCAACATCCACTGATAAAAGGTTTGTATACAAAAAAATAAAAAATACATGGGGGGGCTGTTCCAAGGGTGCGGGGGCTGAAAACTGGAAAGGGGACAACCTGGATTTGGTCTTTTGTGAGTTTGCACTCCCCCCAATATAGGAATAATATGAAATCTGTAATGAAGGTTATATAGGAGGACATTACTCATTAGCATTGCCTCCCCATGACTTCACCTCTAAATAGGACAGAGCTGAGAATGTCTCAAGTTGTGCTTTTCAATCTCTGTGCAAGCTTCTTGGCAAAAACAGGTAATCACAAGGGTAGGAAACAAGCATGCAGAATGTTAGAAGTTTCAAGATAGTGATATTTAAAGTGGTTGTAAAGGCTCAAGGTTTTTTTTACCTTCTATGCATGGAGATAAAAACCATCGCGATCCAGCACTGTACACAAGAGCCTCGGCTCTCCAGGGACTCTCCTTCATTGAATGAGACAGCAGTGGGAGCCATTGACTCCTGCTGCCAATCACAGGCAGTGAGCCAATGAGGAGAGAGAGGCGCAGGACAGCAGCTCAGGAGCGAGCCTGCTTGGGTGCCCCCATAGCAAGCTGCTTGACATAGGGCAGGAAGGAGGGTCCAGAAGCATCAGTGGGGGACCCAAGAAGAGGAGGATTGGGGTTCCTGTGTGAAAAAACCGCTGCACAGAGCAGGCAAGTATAATATGTTTGTTATTTTTATGAAAAAAACCCCAACCTTTATTATTATTATAATACAGGAATTATATAGTGCCAACAGTTTGCTCAACGCTTTACAATATAAAAGGAGACAATACAGCAACAATACAGTTCAATACAAGAGGTGTAGGAGGGCCCTGCTCCTTGGAGCTTACAATCTAAGAGGGGGGTATATCACTTTAATTTTTTGGGCAGATTTAAGAGAAAAGTCCAAGTTAACCACCTTTAAATCAAAAGGTAGAGGAATAATGTGTAATATCTTATCCCATGCTCCAGTGGGCTTCCTCCACATTGTGACGAGTTGCTCAAATCCCCTTCTCTTTGGTGCTCTTGCTGGTGGTCACAAACTGTACAATGCATGAGGAACCAATAGTCCTGCATTGTGTGTGAAGATGCCAAGGGACCACCTACAACCTAGAGCATCAGACAAAAGAGAATGGAGAAACCTTCCAGAGTGAGAGGTAAGGTGAGTATTGCACCTTATTTATTTATGCTTAGGCTTAATTATTATTATAACACTACTATACATGCTTTATCTATCTTCTAATAATAGTATAGTTTTTCTTGGGACCTTTTGGTACTGGGCCTTTTCCAGTTTGAGCTTGAAATAGGATTGTCCTCCCTGCTTCTGATAGAAGTGTAGTGAATGGATTATGTAAGAAATGTTCAGTTTAGAGAGGGAACAGATTAGTCAGTCAGGGATCTGGATGAGTTGACTCTGGAAGTTTCATTCAAGCCTCTTGTTGGACTGGAATTCCACATAGCCTCAGGGCGAACATACTATTGCTTTCTCTAGGGTGGAGGCATTGTGTGTTTGTGTAATAACTTGCTCATCCGCTTACCTGGCAAAGCCTCTCATCCAGTGAGTGTCATCAGAAAGCTGTGCTTCGGGCTCCCTACTTTAAAGGCACACTGACATCGAATTATTTTCCTGACGGAAAATGTGTGTGTGTGCGTAAATTTCATCTTGAGCTGTTGGTCTTTGTAAACACAAAAAGGAACAAAGAAGCTATTAGTAATAATAAAGTGCTGTGCACTTTGCATAAGGAAGTACAAAATATTCATATGCATTTACCGTACTAAAGAAAATATATTTATTAACCTCCCTGGCGGTATGATTCTTTCCGATTTTTGGTGCTGAAAGCGGTACCATTTTTTTGCATGGAAATATGTAGTTTTTTTATTGTAGGCTGTAATTTTTAGGAATAACTCACTGAAATCTGTCCGAACAAGAGTCTAGTAAACATCCCGGGTAGGATAAAATTTGAAACACGAAATCATAAATTATAATTTAATAAATAATCACAAAAAATAATAATCTAATAATAATACATTTAATTCAATAATATAATCAAACCAAAAACACTGAAATTTGAAATATAGCGCCACAATAAGTTTGCACATTGCTGAGCAAAGTCGCAAAAATCGTTTTCAGTGTCTGATGATGAATTTCCCCACAAATCATTATCACTCAATTCTGCAAGTGGTTCTGATTTACTATCGCTGTTCTCTAGCTGATCTAAACCGCTTTTGACCTAAAGGGACACTTTTTGGACGCCATGGATGTTTCTCAGTTTCCAGGCAGAAAGAACAGACAAAATGCAGGCAGGGTGCAGAACACAGCACTAGGGACAAAATGTATGTGAAATTGGTTGAGACAGCAATGTTTTACTATGTAAAAAAAAAAAAAATGAAATTTTTTAAAATTTTTAAATTTCCCGCTGCCGGCGGCGGCGCCCGTACGTCCCGACGTCACAGGGACAGGACACAGAAGCCGGATGCCGGCATCGGCCGGAGGAGATGGCCGGGGACGCTGCAGGGGACACATCGTGGGAGCGCAGGGTAAGATAAGTGAAGAACACATGCCGGAGCAGTGCCGCATGGTATTCCCGAGTGTAGCTCGGGGTTACCGCTCTTGGTACTGAAATGTTACCCCGAGCTACACTCGGGAATACCGCCAAGGAGGTTAAAGATGTTATTTTATAGTCTTTCCCCTAGAAAAGAAAAAATGTGCTTTATTCCCCTAATTTGTCTACAATTTAGGCAACCATGGAGAATAATTAAAGCTGAAGTTTAGGTATAGCAATTTTTACATAGATACATTGGTCCAGCTTGGATCAATGTACAGTATGTATGTTCCATACCTATAGGATTCCTGTGAAATCTGGAAATCAATGTAGTAGACACTGATCTCATGGTGTTTTACCTCTAGCTTTTGAGTCCTATGCCAAGCAGCTGCTCTGCTGCTTACTATACACAGGAGGTTGCCTGCTCGGCATGGGCGCCATTCAGAGAACACAGCATTTTCTCAATAAAGACGAGGTAGATATTGTGGTGTCACAGTCCCACCTCTCCACCTTGTCCAATCTGAAAATACTTTGCATTCATTGAAAAAATGTAAAGTGTTGCTAAAATGGTGCCCCTGCTGAGCGAATGACTTCCTATGTTCATAGTGCAGCAGGGCAGCCGCTCGATGCAGAACCTCAAAACTAGTAGAGTTTACTGTAGTAGCATTGTCTACTACAGTGATTTCCAACTTCCACTGGAAGATATGCCATACATGGTTTTAAACTGGACCAATGTAAAAATAGTTATACCTAAACATCAGCTTTTAAAGGGACACTATCACCTTGGCCATTCAAGGCAAAATTACACTATCTTTGCAAAGTGTTCCGACCCCAGTGCTCCCTTGCCTTTCTCCTTCCATCACAGATGGAAACAATACCCTATGCTTCTGGGTATTGGTCATACATGGATCGAAATTCATCCAGTTTAGCAGGGACCAACTTAATTTTGATCCATGTATGGGTAGGTTGGTTTTACAGAAGTCTTAATAAACTTCTGTGCAACTGCCCTGTCGGATTTTTGCTGCTCAGTCAGCGCCGCTGGCTATGGTCAGCAGCGGTGATCAGTGTATCCTGACAGTGTATGTTGATGGGGTTCTATCACATAGGCTTTTTTTCCCAGACCCCACATCCAAGGTACCATAATTTTGGGACTTTTAAAAAGGTAGATAGCATGTGTGTGAGGGAAACACAGTGGGATTGTAGATCGAAAAGCATAGATTAAGGTATTTCACATATTCTTGAGCTGTGAAGGCAAACTCACTAATGGCATTTTAGAATTTTGGCTATCCTTCATTATGTCAAATATCCACAATGTAAAGCGGAATGCATATGCTGCAATATGTCCACTAACAATGCCTTAAATCATTTCTTCTTTACAGAATTTTTAGCTCTGCTTAGATTAACTGCTGTTTACATTGAAGCCCCCAAACCCCATGAACTCTATGCAGAAGTCAACCAAACGGATAGTAATTGTGTGTTTATTGGATATTAAAATAACTCACTGTTTGATTTTTCTGCCACTTGCATGAATGTGTGTCCATGTTTTCACTTTGACATTTCTCACATTACTGCAGCCTAAATGCACTGATTTGTTTTATAAAAGGCACATTGGAGCTAATACACTTGCCTTTGGCGATCTTTTCAAAGCTTTTTATGACCTGTGTTAAAATAATAAACACTATCATCAATTTGCCTTTAGCAGCAGCTCCCATTTATGCATTTAAAGCTTAGCTACTGCCAAAACTTTTTACTTTTAAATCAAGTGGGGGATGGGTGAATCTTCTGCTGAGTTGTACTGCTATCTGATGACTCTTCTTGGGAGATTTTCCTTGCTTCCTGATCCCCTCTCCCTCTGTTAGTAAGAAAGGATATGGAATAACAGGAATAATAATATGGAATAATAGGAATATCTAAGAAATAGGAACACCGCAGTAACATCCTAGCAGAGGTTCCAACTCTTCCCCACTGCATTTAAAAGTAAAAATTTAATGTTGGCTGCTGCTGGAATTTAAAAGCAAGTCTGTCGTCATGTTATAGACAGTAATTTCTATGCCCCATTTTTCCTGGACTGCCTACTATCACTTGTCTTTCATCCCTTATTATTTGGGATCCATAAGTTGCCAGATGGATGGTCCTTTTTGGTCAATGTTCTCTGCTTCAAAACATCATCAGATCCTGATGAACTTCTCCAACAGAGCAGGCACCATCTCAACCCCTACCCTACCCCTAGCACTTTTCCCTGCATAATAGTATTTGCTGATCAACCTGTTGGTAACGGAGCTGACCCCAGACTGCGCTTGGGTACTTCCGTTAGACTACTGCTTCTCCGTCCGAACACCGACAACAGACACTACAGCCGACCATACAAAACTAGACGACACCAGTCTTGAAGTAATCCAGGAGGTAGACTGTCCCACTGTATCATCCAGGCTGCTCTACACTGGCTATTCACAGGACCAAACCCACTACTAATTGGCATGGGGGTTTTGACCTGCTCCATTTCTGACCTGGGCCGGTTCACCTCTCCTTAGGACAACCTGGTAGCCCCAGGCTCCCCTAGAACCACCATTTTGATACCAAACTTAGTGTGGACACCCGCTCAACATAGCACAGAGTAGACCAGAACTCCTAGACATGTCTACACAATATTAGGACAGATCACCCTGTACCCCTAACAGGCACAGGGTGACTTACACATAATAAGGATATGGGGAGCTGAGACAGGGAACTCCCCATCTCTCCAAAGTGAGCTGGGTTCCATGGGCCCCCCTCCCAAAGTGACTTCCGTCACACTGTTGAATAACACACATTTTGTATAGTGAGTGCAGGGGGTTGGGACTAAGCAGACGCAAATACCAACTTTTAGAAAGTCTGTATTTGCATACACTTAAATATTGTCTTTAGCAGCATTGAGGCCTGTGTCACTGGTATTTTGTTTGCATCAGAATTGCTTGTTGCCACCTGTAAGTCTATAGGGATGGCAAGCACCTAAAAGCAGGTCAGATGTAGTCAATAAATTATGAATTATCTCAGAAGCATCTTAAACTGATGTCAAAGGCAAGGTCCATTTGCTCATCAACAAAGACCCAAAGCCTGTCCACACAGGCCTACAGTATATAAAGAGGGGGACCTAATAATATCATCTGGCACCTAGTGCACCTGATCAATAAATTCTGAATTGTTTCAGAAGTGTTTCAAACTGATGCCAATGGCAAGCTGTATTTGCTCATCAACAAAGACCCAAATCCTGTCAACACAGGCTTATAAAAGGAGGGGGACCTGAAGATATCATTTGACACCTAATAGTAGGGGACTCAGTCTAATATCTTTAGCAAGACTACATGTTTATTTTAAAGTGAACCTGACTTGATTTACCATGTCTAAAAGTAACAACAGTGCTGAAGTTCAGGCACCATTGAGCCCAGGTGGGTCAAGAAAAAAAATTGTCAGTTTTCCTTCTCAGGATGTTATGGTCTGACTTTAAGCGGTACTAATGAGGATTCAAGCATTATTACGTGTAAAAGAGCAGAAACAACAAAAAAAATTCTGGATGTCCCTTTTTGATTTAGTTAATTTTCCACCCAGAATGAGACAACATCCAATTGCACCAAGATTTGCTGGGACTGTAGGATTATATCTGAAATATTTATTTGATCTGTGTTCCAGCTGTGTCTGTCGAGCAGCGTCTGATGAAGATTGATCACACGGCCATACACCCGCACTTGCTAGATATGAAGATCGGGCAAGGGAAATACGAGCAAGGCTTCTTTCCTAAGCTGCAAGCTGATGTTCTCATGAACGGACCAATAAACAACAAGTAAAATATGGTTTTATTATTTTCTTTTTAGTGTGGCACCTCTAAAGAGCACATGTAGCAAACCTAGAAATGAGTCAGTCCAACAAAGACTTGCAATGAGTTTACTTTGGGTATTTAAATCATCCATTGCCTTGTCTCTCAGAAAGTGGATATTTCTCATTCCCAAATTTTGTTTGTGTAGCTGTTATATCTTCTAACATAATGAGTATCTGTGAGTTTGTCCATCCAGAGCAACATGACAGGTTCTCTTAATGGGCCTACCCCCAAGACACTCTGGATCCGTTTCCCCGAATCTAATCCCTTTGTGAACTCCTTGTGTGTCTGTGTCAGAGCTTACACAGAGTTAATGACCTGCTCCCATCCATCTGACAGTGTTTGGGGGTGAGGTTATGATTTTCCATAAGGAAATCCTATTACTATGCTTTTCAGAGACCTTCAGCAGATGGAGGGTGCAATGGGAAAGAGCTGCAAAAGTTGGTATCAGTGGTGGGGGCTTGTTAAAGAGAAAAAAAAATCTTGATTTCTGCAATAAAAGTGATCTAGTGGAGTTTAGCACACAGTGTGCATAGACAAGCTGTTGAAGTTTTACCTTTAACAATTAAGAGGACTGAATAAACCAGCTGTTAAAAACTCAATGCATGTGCCTAACAAAATATTCCATCCAGATGATTGTTTTATAGCAGAATTAAGCCCATATTGTGAAATGAATAATACAAATTAATTTCCCCCTGTTGATTTTTTGGCTTTTATCCACAGTCGCTGGGTCAGCCGGAACGCTACAGCGCAAAGGAGAAAGGACCGCCAGCGGCAGCACTCGGAGCACCTAGGATTAGACAACGACTTGCGGGAGGTACGTCGCTGCAATATGATTGCCAGCTTTACCTCTGGCAGCAGATGGCAAATGAGTCAGCCACCATTTATTTTCTCGAATAATCAGTTTTGCCTCCAGCTGCACCTTAGAATAGCAACATAAATTTTTGTAGCCGTCAGAATCCTCCTACTTCCTATTGTTATTTCCATAAGATGAGCCATAAAAATCCAGACAAGCAGGTTTTTAATGTGGGATACTAATTGTGAAGAGCTGGTTTGGTGATCTTTCATGCCGTTTTCATATAATTTTTATTTCTTATTAGAACTGCAGGATTTTATCGCTTGGGTTGTCTAGTATTCTGAATAAACAGTTTAATTTTAACTGTCACTTTAAATCATTGCTATATTCAGTGCTTCATTAGTGAACATTTATAAAAAGCTATAGTGCATTTCACTGAGGACATATTTTAAGTTATTTTAATTCTATTTCTAAAGCGAACACGTCATTTAAAACTGATCATAAGATGAAAGTAAATGCAGCGAAAAATGCCTCAATGATCAATAGATCCTTTTCTGTGAGGCAACTGAATTTACCGGTATATGCTAGTCTTGTATAAGGCAAGCTTTGTCCTACCCTTTCTCTACAACCTGATCTTTTCTCCCTGGGTGGCTTTACTGACCAATAGGGAGGCATGGAGTGTGGGAGGGGGTGTGCCTAAGCTTGAAATTTTAAGGAAAGGTCAAGATCTGCATATAACTTGGTATACAGTAAAAAAAAAAAAAAAAAAAAACCTGCTCTAAACCAGGTGCTCCAGTGCTCAATCGACACCCCTTCATAAAAGTATAATGATTATAGTGTCCAGTATCCACAGTAACTTCACCACTGTGTGCATTACGCACTCACCTTCTGTTCTGACCTACAACATAATAGGTCATAAAGGAGGTTTTGTTGATCAGTCTCTGCACGTCTACTTCTACCTGTTAGTAGCTACTTCACCCGTACTGTCCTTTTAAGAGACCAGATTCTGTTGTTTCCACTGGGGTGATGAATGCTCAGGGAAAGAAAGAATAATCCATACTGCAAACCCATAAAATTGATAAATCCCTTTATTAATGCATTAATAAAGGGAATAATGCATTAATAAAGTGATTTATTGAATTTTATGGGGTTGCACTGTGAATTATTCATTCTTTCCCTGAACGTTCACCACAGTGGACACAGAATCTGGTCTCTTAAAGGGACATTACGGTTGAAGTGGCTTACTAATGGGTTTAAATAGATGTGCAGAGACTGATCAACAAAAACACTCTTGTGGTGGTCACAGTGGTGATGGGAAGTTACTATGGACACTTGAACACTATGATCGTTCTACTTTTATGAACAGGTGTCAATTGATCACTGGAAGACCTGGTTTAGAGCACGTGGTTTTTTGTTTGTTTTTTTTTTGTTTTTATTCTGAATGCATACGTTTGTTTATTATTGATTTATCTATACAGTGTTGCACTACGAGATAGAGAGAGAGAGAGAGAGAATGAATAAATATTTATTTGTTTTGGAGTTACATCTCACATTTGGAGTTACAAGGGGAGATTAGAAGATTAGGGTGAAAATACCCTTGGATGAAGCAGCCACTAAGAGTTGGAGATTGATGGGCAACTAGTATTTTAAACCGCACATCTGACTTACACTAACATGTAGGTCTAATCACAAGCTGGACAATTAGTACACCTATAGGGGTGGATCACAAATTGATGGACTTATAGACACCATAGGAAGAATTCTGGATTTAACTTGGACACCATAGCGGGATTGAATTGTCACTATTTTTATTTGAAGGACTGTTTCTGAGGACTTGTGTTTTTTCATAACTTTTTACTTTGCTTTAAAGAGACCACGCACTGTATTTATTATAGTCTATTAATAGAAATCTATGGCTCAGTGCAGCTAACCCACAGAAAAGCTGCAGGTGCACCATGCTGCACCTGCAGATGATTGTGAATACAGTCTAATAACCCTTTTATAAGTGCTAATATGCCCACTGCAAAATTACAGTGTATGTGATGTTTAACCATTAGCCGCCCGGCCTATAGCCATTTGGCGGCGGCAAAAATGCTTCACCTTTCCGGGTGCACGCCATTTGGCGTGCTCCCGCACATGCGCAGTTTGCGCGGGTTGCAGAACCTCGGACACGGCCGATGACAGATCTGAGTACCGGCCCACATTGCCGGTACCATGTGACCTGCTGTGACCAATCACAGCAGGTCACATGACAGTTGTATACAATGGATGGCTTCATTCATGCCATCCATTGTATATAGTGCCTAGCTGTGAATGGTCACAGCAGGTCACATGCACATGTCATGTGATTAGCTGTGGCCAAATCACAGCTAAGCACTAAAAAAAAAAAAAAAAAAAAAAAAAAAAACCTGAATGAATCGATTTCATTCTGGTAAATGCTTGCTTATAGCAAAGTAATTCTTTGCTATAAGCAAATTGTGTAAAAAAAAAAAAAAAAAAAAAAAAAATACTGATCACTTCCCCAAAGTAGTACAATGTGACTATGGTAACATTGTACTACTTTGGTCATAGTAAAATATGAAAAGAAATTGGAAAAAAAAAAGAAAAAAAAAATGTAATAAAAAATTAAAAAATAAATAAAAAAAATATATATATATATATTTTTTTTTTTCATACTGTCACCAGTCAGTGTCCCTGTTCAACGCCATGCCAGTTATATGATGACGCTGTACTGAACTGGTGACAGTATGTAAAAAAAAAAATAGTGAAACTAATTTTTTTAATTTTTTAATTTTCCGAAAAAAATTATGACAAAAAAATACAACTTCAAAAAAAGCGCCATGCCTCTTATGAAATACGTTGGGCTGTCTACTTTGCAAAAAGGGGTCATTTGGGGGATATCTGTACTGTTCTGACATTCTTGGACCTCAAGAAATTAGATTGGCTGTCAGTACTTCAGGATTGATCAATATTCAGATCTATACCATAGTTTGTGAACTCTATAACTTTCCTACAAACTAAAAAATACATCCTAATTTGGGTTATTTTCACCAAAGACATGTAGCAGAATACATCTCGGCCTAAATTTATGAAGAACACTTTATTTATTTATTTACAAACTTTTATAACAGAAACAAAGAAAAATGTGGGTTTTTTTCTAAATTTTCGGTCTTTTTTTGTTAATTTAGCAAAAAATAAAAACCTCAGCTGTGATTAAATACCACCAAAAGAAAGCTCTAGTTGTGTGAAGAAAATGATAAATTTTAGTTTGGATACAATGTTGTATGACCGTGCAATTGTCATTCAAAATGTGAGAGCGCTGAAATGTAAAAAATGGCCTGGGCAGGAAGGTGTAAAATTGCCCGGTATTGAAATGGTTAATACACTGACCCTTTCCTCTTCCAGCCTCTGCTGGCATCGTTCTCCAGGCTGCTTGAAAGGTCCCAGGTGAAGTACACTGGGTATCACAATGTATGGCCAGTCTAACTCTTCCCCACTCTTTCCAAAAGTAAAAATAAAATTTTTGTCTAATACAGAGTTCTCTCTGTGGATCCAGATGTGCACCTGGCTGATGGAGAGTAAAAAATTGATTTGCATGGTTTAGAAATTAGAAATAATCCTTTTATTTTTGGGATATGTGATGGAATGAGACATGAACACCCTTAGGCTAGGTTCACATATGTGCGGGTGGTGCCGCTGCGGATCCGCCCAAAAATCCATGCACCCGCACAGAAGAATGTGGACCCGTGGACTGGTACCAATAATTCTAATGGCATTCCGCCCGCACTGGAAATCGCAACCACACTGGGAACCTAGGTTCCCGTGCTGGTTGCGGTTTCCAAAGAAGTGCAGGGACTTCTTTCCTGCGTGTCCTGGGGCACAGGAGTCCATTCATATGAATGGGCTCTCGTGCCTGCACAAAACGCGGCCCGCACGGGCGCATATATGTGAACCAGGGTTTAATGTACTCTGCACTGATTTGGTTGAAAGGCTTATAGATTCCCGTTTGTCCCTTCTCACTATAACTGGCTCTGTACAAAGTTTTCTGCAGTAAACTCCAGGACATCTTACTATGTTATCACTTTTGTTCAGTAATACAATCACAGAAAGCCAAAAGACTCTTTTCACAGACTTTTTTTATGTTTGTATATGGATTGAAAGATGATCTTATGAAAATGTCCTTAATTGCATTAGCAGCACAAGATGGAGAATGTAATGTCAGGGTCATTTTGCATCAAGATAGATTCATAATGAGGTAGGATTTCGTAAATTGATTTTTTTTTTCAGGCTCCTAATCTCCATAACCCTTCTTGCCATCGACTCGTCTCAGATTTCCATGTTAAATGTATTAATTCAAGCCCTCTGTCTCCATAGCTCATCTCTTGTAATGTGCGCAGTTGTGGGACATTAGTACAGCCAGCCATCTGCCCTACGTCTGTCGAGGAGGAGAGGGGGAATCCTCTTTGTTTAGCAGGAGGTTAAGGTCACTTTTGTATCTGCGAGCTTTAGCCAAAGTCTGGCGTCTGCAGCTGCAACCTGAACTGAAATTCAATGATTGATTGTCTTGCCTTTGTCCAAGCCAATAAAGCCTTTCCCTGGCAAGATCCAAAATGCTAGCTGCACAAAATATCATTTAGTCAAAACAGCAATATTAATTCTATGCCTATTACTGTGTGGTGTGTTTTTAAAGTAAAACTCTTCACAAGTATTCAATTAGAAACCTAATCAGAATTTACCTTAAAGGAGAAGTATGGATTTGTAGAAAAATAAATCAATCTACATACTTGCCTCAATGCTGCAGAATCAGTGTGTTACCGCAGCTGTCCCATGTTGGCTCTAACGCAGAGGACTGAGTGATCACATACCTGCTAATCACTCAGTTCAGGTCTGTTTTGAGCAGTAACTATCAGTCCCACTCTCTACTCCGCTTCCCCAGTGCTCTCTGGTGCACACCTAGCTGGGGAGGGGGTAGAAGCAGCTGGCTCCGGCTCTCAGACGCGCTCTGAGAGGCTGAACCAGCT